TGCTTTTTGCTGAGGCTGTGTGTGTGTGTGTGTGTGTGTGTGTGTGTGTGTGTGTGTGTGTGTGTGTCTTAGAGGCACAGTCATATACACTGTAGCCCGGGCTAGCATGGAACTTAGCAACATAGCGTAGGCTAGTCTCAAACTCATAGCAATCCTCCTGCCTCAGCCTCTCAGGGGATTACAGGCATGAGCCACAAAATTTAAGAGAAAAACAGGGAAGATAAATAAAAGAATAAAAACCTTAGAGTGCTGGATCTTGGTTTGCAACATCTGACTGTGGTTGAAATAACTAGAAACGCCCCTCATCCCAAGCCCAGGGCTCCCCAAGCCTTTTCCTTCCTACTGATCTTGGCTACCTCCCCCTGAGACCCCTGAAGTGTCTACCTTCTCAGACATAAACTTAGCAACAAGGACAATTTTAGGAAGGTGACGGAAGTCCTGATTTCACGTGGCTCATTTGATCCCTGAGCACCTTAGGTCGAATCTGTTTGAACTAACCCTCCCTCCTCCATGAAGCTTCTTCTTTAACAGGCATCTCCAAGTGGGCCTCTGAGATTTTGTTTCCCCTTTCTTTAAAAAAAAAAAAAGAACTTCTTCATTGTTTGCATAGGCTACATTTCTGCATAATTTAACACTCAAAAGATGAGAAAGGGCTCAATGAGATCCCTCCATTCATCCCCTCTCTTCCCTCTTACAAGGCCAACCAAGGTTATCTGTTGCTTTATAGCCTTCTAAAGATACTGTGTGCATTCACAATGTTCACGATAAATACAGGTACAAATGCACACAGAAAACACAAGCGTTGCCCACGGGAACACAAGTGCACATGCCACACACATGTCAGCACAAAACCACAGGGTTAGTCATTGTTCCTCTCTCTTGATAACTCACAATGCATGTAATTTATTTTGATCATATTCACCCCCTATTGCCCTCTCTAACCCCCTCCTACTTCCCCTGGACCCTTTCTTCTCCTACTTTTGTGGCTTTTAAATTTTTTATTATTATAACTCCTCTAATGAGTTTAATGAGTGTTTACTGAACAGGGGTAACTCACCAGAGGCCACAGCACTGAGGAAAAATGAATGACTCCTGTTCCCCCATCCCACCCCAGCAGCCACCAATGCCAACAGCTCCTCAGCTAACCTGGCACTTCACCAGCCCATCCCCCACTCACAATGGAATGGTGAATGGGCCCCTTCTTGGGCAGCTGACCACAGCTGCTGTAAAGTCCAGGCTTTCAACACGGACTCGCTGGAATTGGCCTACTTCCTGGGCAGCTGGTGGCTACATCATCATGGCTGGATCTGCTTCTCCATCTGCTCTTCCCCTTGAGTCTGGCTCTTCTGTTCAGGCCTCCTCTGAATGGTTCACTGGGAGACCCACGAGTTCCTCAACCCTACAATGTCTGCTGAGTTTCCAGCCTCAGTGAATGAATACTGACTGGTACAATGACCTACCCCGGATACCTAGTTATTTCTTCCCTAGTTGGGAGTCTTTCCCCTCTAGCCTATGAGCCTCCCGAGGGCAGGAACTGAGTCTTATCCTAGTGGTGTCCCTAGTGCCTCGTCTAATCCCTGCAAAACACTTGTTGAATTGACGAGACCCCTCCTAGTGTCTCCTTTTACTGCACAGCAATGGCCGCAGCAAGGAGACTCTGAAATAACACAGAAAATGCTGGTGCTAGGCTGGATGCTGGGAAAGTGCGTGAGAGGACCCAGAGGCTGCTGAAGCTGACAGACCCAAGAAATAACAGTGCCCTCGAAAAGCGACAAGCAAGAGACAGCCTGTATGAATAAGTCGGTCCACAGACCCACATTTTTTTATCCTGTAGCTATTCTTTTAAAAAAAATTTTCATGTATGTGCAGCCACCTGGAAATGATCAGCCATACGAACACCACCATCAGAGAAGCCCAGGGACCCATGAGGAGAGTGACAGCACTTAGTGAGTACGGAGAACGAGGAAACACAGCGCTAAGCATAGTACGTAAGGTGTCCTAGGAGCTCTTCCAGAAAGCCAGCAGCCACCAGTGTAAGTACCTGGAATCAGACGTTCATTTGTTCACCAGCACTTCTGTAATGTGTGTGTGTGGGTGTGTGTGTGTGTGTGCCCATGTGTGTTCTGTTTCTCTAGAAAACTTTCACTAATACATATGCATGTATCAA